AAGGTTAACAGCTTAATAGCCTTTTGCAGAGTCTCCACACCTAGCTGGTCAAACTATGTTAGGTGTTGCTCCATCAGAAATGCTCCCTCTTCCTGCTTCAAACAGGCTTGCTAGTTTTACCAGAAGTTTGTTAGGAAGGCAGGGGTGTTTGTTGCCAGCTGTGCTGTAACTTCAGTGATGACATATCTAGGCTGTAAGTGAAGGTCTGCACAAGAAAGTCAGAAGCCATTTCACTCGTGTTTAGTCAAATATCACGGGCAACAGTCAAAGGTAACACCCAACTGTTAGACCTGCACCTGCGCCACCCGGGGAATTACCAGTTTTATGGAGAGGTAATTGTTGGGAGATCACATCCCATTATTACAAGCTGTCAATCTTTATTTTTTACCCCCTCAAGGTGAAGGGATGATAGCTTCTAAAATGTGGCACAATGCAAGATTTCAGACTGGGAAGGGAAACGGTAAACCCAAATAGTTTTCCAGAATGGTTTAGCAGTGAAAGTATAAAAGTAACCATCCAGATCCTTGCCTGGTTAATGTGCTGTAGCAAGCTTTGAATATGCTGTGGTTGGTCTTTTTGCCCTAATTCCTCCCTTCACAAAGGCATTAGAAGGCTCATTAATTTTAAAACACTTCATGAGCTAGCCAGACCACGCAAACAAGTGTTCAGTTTAGGACAAGCTTAGCTCTGTATGGAGACATGGCACAGCATTCCCTCTTCTGAAGTGTGTTGCATCCTCACACAACTTTCAACAAGCAAATTAAATCCTCTCAAAATCAAGTCCCATTTTTAGCCTACATTACAGGACACACTACCCTATTCTCTTCTATTCAAACACTTAGAAACATGCAGTTTCCCCTACAGCTTGTGAAGATATAAACTAGATTTTATTCACAGTGTTTCCTCCCACCTATGAACCCATGTATTTCAAATACATTAATACAGCATTTTGGTAATGGAAATTCAGGATTCTCCTGCATGTCACTCCCACTGCCAGAATTTATGGCACACCTTACAGAGCAGAAGCAGAGCCAAGCTTGCCTTGTGGATACTCACTAGCACGGCTGTGTTATTTTCAACATCGTTACACAAAACCTGTGTGACAATGAAACAAATACACAGGTATTTGTGGCCACAAATCCTACCCTACCATTTAAAGAGATGCAAACACACTTGAATGTAGCCATGTTTTCCAAAGGAACTTGTCTGCTCCTGCAAAACTGAGGCAGAATCCCCAGAGACTGATCCAGTGTTAATCCAAGAGGACATCTCAGTAAAGATAGTTGGAGATGGCTCTTCCCTTCAATAGGAAACAACACAGACAAGAAATAAATACAAATAAATAAGCTCCTTAGACATTGTCTAAACCAACACAGATACCTTCAGGACATTGTCAGCTTCTATAGGCAGAGAATCATACTGAAATTTAGTTTGAGGGTTCTTCTTAAGCAAAGCTGATCTAGTGAACTGTGAACTACAACCACTAAGAACTGCCATTCTGAGGCCAAAACATCAGCAAGCCCAACAGCTTTCCTCTGGCCCTTCCTCGCAGCTGGGACAAGCTCCTGGAATGCAGCCAGCAGTTTGGACTACAGTTCAGATAAAATGGGCCAGCCTGGGAGGAGAGAAAAATCAAAAAAAAAGGAAGAAAAAAAGAAAGGAGCAGCATTTATCCATGTGCTAACAATGCTGAAATAGATGAAAATGTGACATACTATAACTAGACATGACTAATGTGACATACTAGTCTATGACTGTTTGAACTGCATGTGTTTTAGAAAGAGGATTTCATGATGAAGTTAAAAACAGGCTTGATTTTAATGTACCTTTCTAAAATTGCATAAATGGTTTATTCACTTCTGCTGCAGTGATTTTGTCTTACTGCCCAGAATTGAAATCAAATTAGTCACAGAAACCACAGGTGCACCTAGCAGTTACTCTGGGGAGACCACAGCTTCTGTGGTCAGAGTCTCATGGAGAGTGTAACTGCTCAAAGTTCTGAAAGTAAATCTATGTACTGATAGTGTGTTATAACCTACTGAATAACTCTGTAATACTCAGGACTGCTTAATGTATGTATATTCTATATATGCAGTTTAATCCATAACAAGATGCATCTCATCTCACCACTATTAAAAAAAACATCCATTACATTTATTACCTAAGCAACTTAAAAGCATACAGGGGTTGAAGTATGATAGGCTGGGTCATTGTAAAAATGGGAAAATCTGGGAAACTAGGTCCTACAGATTCCAGAACCACTATTTAGGTGGAAAATAATCCAAACCAACAGTAATTTTATCTACCACCTCTGAATCATTGATTATAAATGGAATATATATTTTGCACAGAGATACAGACTCACATAAAACACATATACACCTACTTACAGACATGTATCAATACAAATTCTTTTATATGTAATAGAATGTTCTCTGTTTCACAGATAGTAACCAAGTCTCAGTTTTGCATAAAGGCATAGAAGAGTACACAAATACCAACATGAATTTCATGCTGCCAGTAAGCTCCATTCCCCTTTGAGCTAAGCAACCACAAAAAGCCTGGTTGCTTGAATGGCTAAACTTGGATACTTCAGCATCAGCTCATTTCCTGACTAGCTTTAAACAAAGCAGTCTGATAAATGCTCAAACTCAGAATCATTATAAATTAAAGATGTAAATACATAATTTTTTTCAGGTGCTAAATGATCTTTGGAGTTTTTGGAGAAGTACTTTGTAGGGTATTTCTACTGGAATATAACTTAAAGAAAAAAAATCAAGATTTTTGTATCATTACATATTAAATTATTACAAATCTGCATCTGAAGATTTCTACTAATAATATTGTATAAAACAATAGAGGGCTCCAAGATATTTAATCAAAACCTGTAAAAATTCAAGGCAGATAATACATTAGTAGATTAAAAATAAATGTATCAGTAAGCATTTGACGTTGCATAGCACTTTATTTCCAGGTGACATGCTTGCTGTAGGAGGATCTTTAGGGAGAAAGTCACAGAGTTCAATAATTCCATATGAAGCAGCTCACATTTTGCTGTTCATCCTCACACAAGTATGTCACAGTCAGCACAACATATGGATCCAGTCTGAGCAGGCTGCTTGTCCTCAAGAGCTGTGAGACTGTTTATGCTGCCCATCAAGACAGATATTTGAGCTATGCTGCACAGTCTTCCCTTGTCTTCTCAAAGGATAAAATGGTTTGTGTCCCAAACAATCCATACTTTCTGGACTTGGCTTTTATTAATTTTTTTTTCCACAGAAAAAAAAAAATACAAGAGAAAAATATTTACTATGTATACATTATTTTCATAAAAAACTGTCCAAGACAACAAACAGGATAAAAGGAATTGTATTCCTTAGACTTGTTGTTAAGTAGCTGCACACAGATAAATCCATATGCCATACACACTACTGCTAAATGTCACTGTTAATAAGTAAAGCACCACCAATAATTCTTCTGCATTATTGAAGTAAACAAGTTTGAAACTTTGAAAGGCATTAAACCTTCTGTCCCATCAAATAAATAGGTAACCTTAAACATCACTTGAAAGGCAGAAATACATTTAACTGTGCTGAAACCAAAACCATTGCCAGATTAATTACATTTAAACACATTGTTGAGGTACAAAACAATTCAGAAGACCTTTAGGCATCACTAGCTCTGCATTTGGCATAGTTCAGAGTGCAGCAACATAATGGTGATTGCTTTTTCAGCTGTACTGATGAAGTAGAAAAGATCATTAAGATAACACACAATACATGTCTTACAATTTCCACTTTCTCCCCCTCTATAGTTAGGTTTTAAAAACAGTATTAAAGCATGATTATGCAGATTTATGTTGAGGTACTATTTCACGTGAAATATTGCTTGTGTTGGAATAAAATTCCGCTTCTCTTTCATCTCCAATACCACAATACTCCAGAGTCCACCTGCCCATCAATATTTACCAGACTTACAGATTCAATCACCATTACTGCTAAGAGAAGTTCCTCATTCCATCTCCAAAACACAATAGTAAAACAGACACCTGTAAATGCAAACACATCACGTGTGCACATATCCACACACTCACGAGCACAGCCTACGCTTTCTCCTGTTGGAGTTTTGGTTAAAGGACAGGTTATATGAAGTTTTAAGTAAGGATCGCAGGGATACCTTAGAATCCCTACAACCAGATGTTGTGGCTCCTTTTCTTGTGAATTGCATGGAAAAGCTGATGGCATGTCACAAGGTCTGGACACTTGAAGATGACTTAGTGAAAATAAGGTGATAAGAACAAGACTTGGTCCCTAGCCTCTACCTTTCAGTAAATAGTTATGCCACCAGAGCAAATAGCTGGAAAAATTTTCAATGCCTGTGAAACCTTTTGGCCATCTTTCTTCCACATTTGTGTATCTTCTCCTTATTCCCCATCCCCATGGAAAATGTATTTAAGATTGTGTTGTATTAAATTGTATCACCATTTACTTTGGAAGAAATTAAATAAATTATTTTTTAAATAAAATGAACAGAAGTTTATGCTCAGAAATACCTTTCCTTAGTCTCAAGCCCTGTCAAATCTGAGTTCAAGTATGTGGTAATTCAGGAAGTGAAAGAGCATTTTTTTAAGATTATGACAAAACTGTGTATGTTAGTTTAGCTGTGGGTTGGTAAAATTTCGATTCCCAAGTCCAAGGATAACAGGTGGGTGTCTGAAAATACTATACAATTTATTCTTTCAAGGTAATTTTTCTGCATTTACTAAGATCAAATATATGAGAAAGTGGAAATGTGAAGGAGGAAATAAGCCAGCAGAATAGTCACAAGAATTGCTATACAAATTCTCATTCTTCCCAGTGAACAGCTGTTAGATGGCTGGCACACATCCCAGCTGCACCACTTGGGCATCCTTGGAGGCTGGCGTATTAAGACACAACAGAAACTCTAGAAATCAGAGGGACAGGAATTTAAAAAAAAATCTTCACAAAAAGAAACATGAATTGAGGTTTTTGTTTGTTTAATAAAAGCTTGCAAGGCACATGTTTCAACCAAATTGCAACATCTACAGCAAAGCAGATCAAAATTTGTAAAACTTTCCCACAACCCTTCAGGGAGTTAAACCTGTGATCTGTTTGAAAACCAAGCCAGGGTTTTCTGCACAGGTCTGGCGTAATTATGCCCTATTGTTGTCCCACTGAGGGATATCACTGGAACTTAGTATTTTTCACAGAAGCTGGAGATTAGACAGCATTTTTGCTAGTCCATAGCTGGATAAGAAATTAATTCACTTTCTTTATAAGATATGACTCTTTCATTCACTCATTTCAATTATGCCTTTTTACAGGACAACCACAATGTTCTCCCAAATAAAAGGCTCCTTCTGTTACTTAAGGCTGCTGTGCCAACAGTGCTGCAATATAATTTTCTCTAATATAAAAAGCAAGGTAAAAATCTTAAATGATTCTCCTAAAGCAGAATCAATTGAAGTATCAAGAATACATCTTAAAAACTATGACAAAACTAATAGCAATAACTAAGTCACAGTTCAAATAAAGTTCAACTCGTTCATTTAAACATGTATAAAGGCCAATGTGCTACAAGACAGTTTTGTTTAGATGTGTGGGTAGCCTCATTTGTGGTTTTCTTAATATGTGTGCTCTACATGTAGGTGTTCAAACTATATTCTATGTGGTAACACGCACAACATTACAGTAAAACACAACAGGCAGTCAAGGACAGTTGAATGTTGCATCTTGGCATGGCAGTCTAAGGCATGAAGCCGTAAGCTCTGCGACCTCATCTACCCAAGTACAGTTGTAACCCTGAAGTTTGCACCTGGGATGCCTTATTGCTGATATGAAGTGATATTCATGAATTACTAACTTCAAGAGATTAAATGACCGACACACAGACATGTAATTCCTTGACAGTGACTCAAACAAATTGAAGTTGAAAAAGGAACTCTAAACTTACTTCCAAATACTACTTCTATACCCACACATACAGAGGGAGTTCCTGCAGGCCTGCCATAGCTCAAGTTAATATACAAACTTCTGTTGGTATATGGTAATTGAGCAGTCTGGAACAGCCCAGTGCAGTAAAACATGCACTTGTGCACAAGCAAATAAATGCAGCCTGCACTCCAGCAGACACACAGGCACACACTATCCCAAACACAATGCCCGTATGCCCAGAAAGGATATTTACTTGTAACTTGTAACTCAGTTATATGGATGTTTCTCAGTGACAACATCCCATAATTCAATGGATTTATCTGAACATGGGTTTCAAACAAAATGTGTAATTTTTGTCAAGACTTGTAGGCCTAAAAATATAACCGAAAGTAAAAACCAAATTACAGACATGTTGGCTTTTACAACAATAAAGCTTTTTTCCTTTAAATCACTCCAAAAGTGGTAACAGTTTTAAAAAATCTCAGCACTATGTGTCAGTGTAAAGTAAGCAAGTGTATCTGCATAAGCAGAGAAGAATCATGCACATACAACAACATGCTGCAGTTCCTAATAATTTCAGAGTTAAAATCTCCAATTTGCCATAAGGATTGTTTTGCAGCTTCCACTTGCAGAATGGTTTGCAGAATTTTCAGCTGGGGGTTCATCCTATTTTGCCAGATCCTTCATTAAAGACATCTGTGCTCCAAAGGATCCTTCCCACATGCCTAATAGACTGGTCTCTGGGCCAAGTGTTACGTTAGTTTGTAACTGCAGGTAACTCCTAAGGGGTGAGCAACTTCTTCCAAAACTTAGCGCTGGCTTTTTGTCCAGTTACACCTACATTAAGCAATGCTACTGTTGCCTTTTATTGGAGTTTCCACTCTCATCACTAGGTTTAGGCCCAGAGTTGTAATTAAAACATCATTCATTTTCTTGAAAGTCTATCAGCCAGCAACAAACAGGATGAACAGATAATTTGTTAAGAAAAGGAGTTGTAGAGGCAAAGAGGGTCATGTAATAAAGACAAATTTTAGAGGGAAGCAAAACTGCAGAGTACTTTCCCAAATTTTCAAGAATCTGTGTATTTGCATAATTGATATAAAAATAGCTATAAACATCTGTACCATTATTTACTAATGGTGGTGATTATAGTGTTTTAAATGACAGTTATGGCACTATCTTAATATACCTATTGCATAATAAGTTGAATGAAATGAGTATCACCCATCCCTCCACACACACACACACACACACACACACACACACACCAGCACACAGACAGGGTGAAACTGAAGTGCAGAAGTCTCAATAGCAAACCTGGTTGTCCTGCTACACCTGACTGAAAACAAGTATGGCATACTGTGGTATACTGGCCCATTCTGGTAGCTGCTAAGAAAGACACACTTATGCATACATACATACACACTTAAGTGTGGAAAAATGTTGAAAACAAGTTCTTTCCAAACTGAAGATCTCAGCTTGTCAGCTCCTATTGTTAGGTCTAATTCCTAGCATTTCCACCAACATGTCTCTGTAGACAACAGAGACAACACTGTAGAGATCAGTGCCTTAATCTGTGGAAGTGTTGTTTAAGTAAAATCTTCCTTATTTGATTTATACAAACAATATAACTACGTGGAAGATGTATAAATGTGTATTTGATAAACACAGGAATGTTTACCATGGAAGACAGGAAGAATTAAAACAAAAGAAACCCCAAACTAAAAATCCAAACACTTACTTGAAAAGACTTGGGATAGTGATTGCTTTCCTGCTAAAAATTAAAAGCTATATGACTTAAATGAGCTCCTAAAATAATTTTGCTGTATTTACTGAAGTCTACGCATACCAACTCTCTAACACAAAAGTCAGAAATCTCATTTACATGAAGATTAAGATGATTTATAATGGGAAGAAAAATGTAAAAACATGGAAGACTGTAACACATTATAGAGCCTGTAAAACTGATAAATGTTCCCGTTTCCTTCAAGGATGGTGTATGTGTCTGCTGATCTGTAGATCAAAGAATTTCAGTTTGGTAGAATAAAATTGTCAGTACACTGCATGTGTGCACATCTATCTGCAAAAATAAACTTCCTTGCTCAAAAGGAACTTTTCCAACTGAAATTCATTCACGATCAATCCTTAGAAAGAAGCTTGCATGCTTTTTCATGACTGGAAGGATATCACAGTGTTGATTCTATATACAAAGTAGGATCTATTCCAGTATACTCGAGTGAAATAATTCACATATGGAGAATAGTTCATTTTGATTTCATGACAAAATCGTCCATATTTTGAGTAGGCATAGTTGTCACCTTCCTCACAAACCACCTGTCAGGAAGAAAAAGATCTAATTATAGTAGTGAAGCGGTTACAGAATGTAATTCTGTACATTTAATTAACTTATGTATTCTGTAAATTTCATTTATGATAGACATTTAATTTCCACATTGTACAGTTCCAATAAACTGAAAACACATTCTCCTGTAATTTGTTTAACCACTTAAAACAGCCTTTGTGAATTAATTCCTTCGTTAAGGTAGCAGACATTAAAACCAGCTTATTTCATTCATATTATAAACAACAGCAGTGGAAATTATGCATATGCCCTGTTTACCCAGTAGTTCAAACCTGACCTGCACTGGGCATAGCAGTGTAAAGGAAACAAAAATCTTCTTTACCTTTCCCAGCCCAAGTAAGTTTGACATACTTAATAAAGACCAAAGACACACAGACATCACCCTACAAATTCCAACCAATTGACTTGGAAGCAAACTGTGCGTTTTAGCATTTACTGTCTGATATCCCTGAAGAAATCCCTTCATTATTCCTTCCGACGGCACAAATTGACATGGTTTTAAAAAAAGGTGGTAGGACAAACTCATGAAGAAAAATTTACCAGTGGCTGCCAAACACAAAGGTAATTGCCCTGAGCTATGGTCCTCCAGCAACAGACTGCTGGAAAATGTTTGTCTTTCCCTATCAGTAGAACTATGCTCCCAGTCAGTGTCAGAAACAAGATATTGGACTAGCACTACAGGATGTAGCACAAGCTAGAAAGTAGTACTTATCTTCTCAAACACAGCAATTCAAAACACATCCATAGATCTGTCAACACACTGTCTGTCCACTTTACTTTGGGAATAAGTAAATGCTGCAGTTGCAGTCTTCAAATATATATGCACTAGCTTGCACTACTTTGGAATGTCTTGATAATCTTCCAATATGACTTAAACAATTTTTGTTAGCAAGCAAATGGAGAGATTGGTTTAAAGCTTCCTGAGACAATGCACTTCATTAACTTTCCAGAACAAACTAGGTCAGTTTTCTGAAAAAATCCCCAATACCCAAACCAACCACTCCCCCCAAAACAACAACAAAAGAACACAATAAAAAAACACAAGAAGGATTATGTGTGAGAGAGAAGTATGCAGGAAGCATGGAGATGAGAGATGCAGGGGTATGAGAGCATGGAATCCTGAAACTGTGGTTAACTGCTCCAGTGGAAATCCTAAGTATGAAGAGGAAACAGGATCTTACTCATACAAACACATATCTGAGAAGAAACTGAGAGGTAACGTGCAGATTAACAGTGATGGAGGTTATTCATACACACACACTCTAGTTATGGTACAGTGTATTGGATATATCCAGGAATAATCACAGCATACAATGATTTTAGCAGCAAGACAAGGAAAGAAATAATAGATTTCAGAAATGCTAAGGAACTTAATAGAAAAATGGAGACAATATCCTTCATGGATAAAGTAGTTAGGAAACCTAGAAGTGAAACTGACACCAGCTGTATATTCCTGGGGAAATATAAAGTAATCCCCTAATAACACACCACTCCTATATCTCTTAGAGGTAACTAGTGACTCCCTCTTTCCTGTTGACCTAAGAATAAGCAATGAAACTCTCAGTGAGTTTAAGGCTACCCCCTGCCTTTCTGAAATCAAAATTTTTGCTGGGTTTTCAGGAAGCCAGTGAACAAGTGGTAGTGAGATCACCTCATAAACCCCACCTTAGCAGCAAGAGCAGCACTACCAACATGCAGACAGAACATGTCAATGACTGAAGCAGCATTAATGGTGCTGAACCAATCTTTCTAGCAGATGTGGCTTAAACTATCTGTTGGTGTGCTAACCTATCTGCAAGGCTGAACTGAGTAGACTTGCACCCTCATCAGAACCAAAGAGTCTGTGTTGAACTAAATGTCAGGCTGGTCCTCATCCCAGCCAGAGTTTTAAGAGAACTGAGTTTATCCATATTAGAATTTAATCTTCAAAACTAGTAAAGAATGCCTTCTGAGGCAGGGCTTCACTTTTGTAATAACCTCTTCAGGTGTCGGTCTTGAACATTTATATATAGTTAAATGGTACTTAATGATTGGCAGAAAAGCAGCACAGCTAGATACCTCCATGTGTTAGGAGGGATTAGGGCAGTTAATAGTATTAGGTAAGACTACAAGTTTAAGAAAAAGACAATCCAAAACTTAACTGATCACTTTTAAAACTTGAGTCTTTGTCTACACATCAATTACAATAAGAAAAATAAGACCAGCATTACAAGATTTATTTTTAATTTAATTATTTATGCAAACATTCATTTTTTCTCAGCAATACTTACATGACCATTAGCAATATCCAACAGATCTTTAACTCTACATCCTCTTACAGGTCCCACTTCATTGCAAATTGAATCTTCAATAACCAGAAAGTTGGCTTTGTAAGATGTGAGTATCTTGTAAATATCCTCAGCTGACCTCTTTGAATAGATTTGATAAATCTATAAATTAAGAAAACACGTTCATGCAATGCAAAAATCAGTGATGACTTAAATACTGGGACACACACACACCCACAATGATGACCTATCTGCAACAACAAACTATATGTACACATCAAGCTATAAGAAGTTTGGTTTTGAAATCTCCAAAACAGTGAGGCAATGGCCAGCTGAATGGGAAGTATTTGTATTTGATGCTGGCAAGTTCTCATCTTACATACTTCAGGTGGCCTGAAAAGTCTTCAGAAATAATATTTTGATATTTGTTTCTGTGCAGAGTGAAGCACTGGTAATCTACTTGATAATCACTTCCATGTCTGCTGGACTCCTATGTCCTCCTTCCTTCTAATACATTTGATTTCTTTGCATTACATTTGGGTGAAGAGGAAGACAGCTCCTGTGAGATGCCACATTTATGGAACTGGATACTCACGTTCTCATTTCTTTTCAGAAGATCATCATCATTATACAAAGGCAAGCTTGACACCATCCATCCTGTACAGAGCTTAATCACACCCATGAGCTGTGGGCTGCCTGCAAACACTGCAGCCACAGGAGCCTGCCGTCTGCAAAAGCAACACCAACAAGCATGTCTGAGTACTGGATGCACTCATCAAAACAACTTTATATACTGTGGGGTCTGGTAGGGTGCTGCAGAATGAACTGGAGTACGTGAAGGTATCATTGGGGGTCTCACTACAACTGGTGATGGTTTTGCTGTGGCAGTACTTTCCCTGCCAGTGAAAGTGCAGACCTGCAGCAACATGGAGTTTGAGAAGAAGGGTTCCTGCTGGGGCAAGGGCTGATGGCTGTTCTCCCCTCCTTGCAATCCACCAAGCACCATTCAGAGTGGTCCTGGAATGGATCTAAGTATTGCTTTTCTGAATGGTTGCCAACTCATGACAAAAAAAGCTTGAGAGAGACAGTAGGTGGAGGGAGAAACAACATGATGTTATCTTGTAAGGGAAAGATTTGTGATTGTTGTAACTTGCTCTCTGCTATATATTTCATATGTAATCTCTGATTATGTATTTCATAATCAACGAGAAAACAATGTCAGCATACAGAATAATGTCTACAGTAATGATATTTCTGGGTTTGGTATGATTTTTTGACTATTTGTATTTCTGTATTAGTGAAAGAAAACAGTCATTGTCATACTTTATTACAAGCTTTGGCAACTTCTGTAGAGAAAATTCAAATTAAATTCATATTATCAGAGAGAAGACTGAGAAATAACATTGAATTAAAATTTCAATGTGGATAGCTAAGTATATCCATAAGAAAAAAAAATCTTTATTTTCTTTAAAAATAAGAGCAGCTGCTACAGATAAGGGTAGTCCAATTGCTCGTAGATGAGTGCATCTCAATGAAATTCACCATGATTTATTATGTACTTGAAGTATATGCAGACTAACATAAAAGCCATTAGGTACTTGGCATTATTCCAATTGCTGCCTTAAAGAGCTACAGCAGTGACAAACAACATACACTACTACAACAAGAAGAAATTGCCTGGAACACTAATTACCAGCCTTGCCTTTTGTGAAGATGAACAGGTTGACATTAAAGACTACATAAATACAGAAAGTAATATTCTAAAAAATACAGTTAAAGCTAAGCTATCAGAACACAAGGGATCTAATTTTCAGAAAAGTGCAGTTCCTAATGACATAGCTTGAAGTTAAACTGAATGAGGCAGAATGCAATTCTGAAACTTTTGGTGGCAAGAAAAATTTATCTGTGAAAATAACTTGACTTGGTATTAGCTGTGTATATGTTCAGTGTGAGCTGTGTAACACAGCTCCATACCTGCTGTGGTCAAAGGGGAAGTCTGAATCACACATGTTCCTCTCCCTGTATCCTGACAAAAGTCTCTAAATCCTCACATTCAGGTATTTCATTTTGTTGGCTCAGACACATAACATTTCAGTGTTTTTGTCCCCTGCTGACATTACAGTCAACATGAATCCTGTAATCTAATGAAAAGCTAGCATGCAAAGAAGCAAGATCTAAGATCTTCCTAAGACCTCCACCTCTATTTGGAAACTAGGTCTGCAATGACATTAAACATGACTTGCATGTGTGTTTCAGGATCTTCTCTTGAAATCCATGATAAACTCCTGTTTCTTTTCATGGGAACAATACCAGACTTAAAATATAAAATGTCTTCCCCCAAGCACCATTGAATGACTTAGCAAAAGAAAACCCAGCTTGATAGAGGTAGCTCCACAAACTGCTGAGATAAAAACACCCTTACAAAAAGCAGTAAAATAGAAACGTTGGACTTCATGCTTACTTTATCCATGTCATAAGTTCTACTGTATCAGGATCATAGAATTCTTGCAGTTCTGTAAGCTCTGTCATTATTCTAGGGAAAAACTGATGGAAATGTTTTTGGTTACTTACAGTTTAAAAAAATATCTACAGAGCATCTCACTATATTAAGGCCTTAAGTGACACAACAGAAAGGGGTTTCAACAGTTTTCCCCCCAACTGGTACTTTTGCTTGAATATTTTGCAAATCTCAGATTACATTTACTTACCTGACAGCAGGAGACCCTCTCCAAAATAAGTATGTTAAACAGAAGTTCTCATCTCTATTTTATTAGAATGCTTATAATTAAAAATAAATAAACAAATAGCAGCAACAACATTCATCAAGTGGCCTTAAATGCATCAAAACCATAGTTCAGGTGGTCATATGCAAATGTCTACAAATAAGGGCACTGAACCAAGATGATAAATCTCCCATGGCAAACCTGCTCGAGCAGGAGGGATTGGACTGCTGTGACTTGATGGAAAGATGCAAGCAAGACAGGAGAGAAGAAATTTCCTAGACGAGCCCTGGTAATGTGACCTGGACTTGCTTCTGACTTCAATCACTACAGTGAAGGAAAAGTACATTACAAGGTGTGAAGTGGGTATCTCAGTTTAGGCTCTTGAAAAACATTTTGGGAAAAGCAGGGATTCTATGACGTAAGATAGAATGCCGCCTCTTTCAAACCAGGCCAGATTGCAACCCTGCATCATGGCTTTCCTACCCTGTCAGGTTTGAGGTCTCTCTGTTAAGACGGGAGATTTTGTCAGTCCTTGAGTCTTTTGGAACGTTTATCTGAAAAAGACATGACTGGAAACAGGCCAGCCTTGAGGGGCTGGAGCAAGTACATGCACACACTGTTGTAAATGCTAAGTGAAAGTTACTGGTTGTCAGCTCTTTTGGAAGATGTTGAAGTTTACAGATTATGCCAGATTAAAGAGACAACTTACTTTGGGACAGCCACAGTGGACAGACAGAAGTGGGAGCCTGCTTCTAATGAAGAGCTTCTACCCTCACTACCTGGACAACTCAGCTGTCAAGTGACAGCAGTCTACAGCCAGCACAAGAGCAGCTGCCATATGTTTGTGTCAGGGACAAACAGCACTGCTGTTATACATACATTGGAACTACTCCCAGAACAGAGGGAAGGAAAGAGGAATTGCTACTGCCACCCCAAGGAGAACCTGCTTCACTCATCAATCACAGCACCTGGAAAAACCTAGTTAGAGGAAGGACTATGCCAGACACAGTCAGAAGGCAGCCAAGCAAAAAGATGCTGAGCTATACACTCAGTCTTTTATAGCCACGGTAACAGATTAGAAGTCTCAAGGCATTTTTGCTGCTCTGTTACTTCTAATCAACATTCTCAACCTCAGGATGAGTTATGAACGTGGAGAGCAAACTGTTCACTAGTACTTCAAAGCAGAAGCTGGATCTGCAATGGATGAAGCCCCCTAGAGTCCAAACCCCGACACTGCTTTCATTAAAACAATCTGAAAGAATTACTTGGTTAACTAAATTAGTTTCCTCTATTGTAATATATTTCATAACTTTTTTGAGCAACTCTAGCTTTTTTTACAGACAGTATTTATTGCTCCATCAAAAACATGTAAAAAAGGCTACAATGGAAAATGTGGCTGCAATGTAAGATAAATGCTACTAAATCTGTTAAAATACTGTTGGGCAAGACTGGCTTCTATATATGAGTTCTCAGACTATCCAAACTACTTTAAAGCTGTGTCAGTATAGCGGAGGATTACACTTCGAGATGTTTCACATATTTTTTTCACTCACAGGAGCTTAAAAAATAATTTCCAAATACTCTACCCCAGTCTGTATACGACTTGAAATAAAGAACTAAGTATTTATTTTCAACATGGAAACATCTGTGTCTTTTCTTCTCTGTATTGTACTAGGTACACATCTTAACACAATGGTCTGCACAAAGAATTTAACTCCATTATAATTTGATGGGAGCTTTTCAAACAGTTTATTTGGATATAGCCCCCTGTAATTTTACTTCATCTAACTTTACTCCTTCTCACTTAAACTGAGATTGAGGCAACATAGTTTTCAATACCCTGAGTTTTCACTTGGCAGTATATTCTTTGTTGAGCCAGTTTATACATCCAAAGCTTAACAGCTGGATATAATAAAGTCTTAATTTAAATTTAATTACAATAAGTGATTGTTAAAAAATTAAATTGTCAAATACCTTATTCTAAAAAAAGTGAAGTTTTTTTTATAAAACTAAACATATTTTCAGCGGATGACAGCTTCAATTTCGTCACATATATTTAATTTCAACGAGTATATTTCATTATATTTGCTCATCATTTTGACTCATATTGTGCCTACATACAAAGAAAACTCCACAAAGGTACTTTTCTTACCTCTTTCCACAAGCTGAATCCAATTATAGTGGGAACTGCCATACTCAGAATAAGAGCCTAGAAAGTACATGTTAGAGAAAATGGATTATGCACCATTCTCCAACATTAAGGTGTCTGTTGATTCTGCTCATACAGTGAGCAACACTTATGCCTGAAACCATAGAGTGACAGTAGGTGAAAATTTGTGGTTTTCTACCAGGCAAAAAACTTCCCTCAAACAAGAATTTGCCTAATTTAGCATGGAAGGCTTCATTTGACTCACAAAAACTTTACTATCATTTTTAGGGACAGTTAATTACTACTCAAGTAACACTGATTCCATGTACACATAATGTAGGAAACAGAAAAAAGTAAACAACTCATATTCAAATGCTATGAGAGAGGAAAAAAACAAGCACTTCAAACCTCTGATCTTGTTGATGCTTTTGTTCAGATTCACATTATTGATATGCAAGACCCAGAAACCCATCTCTCAGCATTGCAAGGAGAAAATAGCTTGTATGCTATAGAAAACATTTGGTAAGGAATGCACACAAAGAATTCCTTTGATAATAAGCAAACACATCTACTATGTTAATAGTAAAAAAGCAGGTCTACATCACAGAAAACATGAAGTATATAAAAGAATGTGCTTACCATGTACCTGAACATATTGTTACTCCCTGACTGAAAGAACACAGTCAATGTTTCTGATATAGCAGTGCATGGTATTTTCACAGGAGACATAACAAACCTCTAATATATTTATTCCTATATGCCTCTTGAATTTAGGGTTAGCAATATCCTATCCCTATTTTATTAATAATGCACAAAGCTGCTAAAAATCACACAAAGCAGTTCTTGTAATATTGAGACCAAAGCTTGGAAGCAGAGGAGTTGTTTGCTCTGTAACACAAGCTTATCTTCAGTCACACACTTCTCTATAATGGCCATACATGAACAAATCTTATACAAAGTAACTTCACTTACCATTTCTTATGAAGCAGTTTTACTCTCAGCAGTTAAATACACCTTACCAGCCATTTAAAGACCCATTTCTCAGAGAAACAAAGCTTGCGTCTCCCCTGTGTGTACCAATACTTTTTCTCCTGCATTCCTCCTAAAAAGTGCATGACCTTCTTGACCAATCCCAACTAGATATGACAGAGAGATCAAGGTCTCAAAGATTTCTTAAAAGAAGTTGACAAGAGTGAAAGGGAGATGAAGACAGCTCTGCTTTTTATGAGGAATGGTTGTAACATGAATGCAACTTTATCACCAGGTACCAGAGAACAAGTGAAACTAAGAACAAAAGACAGAAAAAGCAGACCATGTGCGTTCCACTGCTCACAGAACCACCAGTTGTTTTCATGGGTTCTTTCATGGGTCTTAAGTCGTGGTCTGTAAAGCTATATGCTTGCTAGCTGTATTTTCCAAGATTTTGGCAACAGCAACTCACCAGCAGTATTGGGTGCACAGCTTTCAGTCGAAGCCACTTGAAAAGCGTCATCCAAAGTTCAGGAGAGCACACACCAAATGCAGCAAGCATGCAAACATAAGGTGTCCATAGATATTTCATTCTGAAAAACACTGCAATAACTTAGTTGGGACCCTGTGTATGCCTCTGTACTCAAACTGCTATAAAAACATTCAGATGTTTTTCTCATGTCTAACACAGTCTGGATGTTCAAACAATCTGAGGACAACTTTGATGGTAGGGCAAACCCAAGGAAATCTCTAGCAGAAGAGCTGGCACCTGACTACCTCCTGTGAGATGGAGGAGCAAGATCCTAGGTAAAAGATGACAAAATCCTTCACAGATTTCAGGGGAGGATGAAAGAAAAACAGAGAGAATAGCAAAGTCACTTGGCTGTTGTGGTTTTCTAGCCAAGAAGGGATAAAAAGCAGCTATTTGGCAAAGCTGTACAGACAATGTACTATAAGAGAGTTCCTGAAGAAAGGAGAGGAAAATATTTAATTACAATTTATGATTTGCTAATGTTGTCTGCCTCTTAAGGGTAGACTAGTCAGCTTAAAACAACTACAGGATAACACAGCAGCCTGCTCATTTTAAGCAATATTTGTGAATATTTAGATTTTAGGATGAGGAGCCTAATAGAAATAAAAGCCTGACATCTTCAAGATGATTAAGCTGAGAAACAAGATTAGAACAATTATGTCTTCCAAACATCAGCTTCTCTAGCTTTAAGAACTAATACAATACTTTCAAAATTAGTTCTGCTACTGCTTTAATGTATAAAGCAAAGGTACACTTCATGGCAGCCTACACATAAGAAGAGGGATAAGAAATCTTCCATGTCCCAATATTCCAGCACTATTCTGTTCATCGAAACACTACACAAGCTCTTGCTAAAAATAATTACAGCACAATTCTACACTTAAATACCATAAAGTGTTTAAAATGTGATTCAATTAATGTCTTGGACCTTGGCTGCCATAAAGCTTGGAAAACACATTAAAGAGATCAAGCACAAGTGTTCATATAACCATATCCAATTTATAATCAAAATCACCTTTGACTACTCTTAAGTATTATCACTATATGATAAAATTATTTCCAAAAAAGGGTGGACTTCAAAGGGATAAACAGCGTATTATGTCCAGTAAGGAACTCTGTTTCTTTCAAAAGAGATACATCAAAATCACACTTACCCTTCCAAACACATCGCTAGACAACCAAGCAAAATTGTGTGAATTACATGATAAACTATTTCTGGCCTCTCTCCAATTCGACCATCCTCAAGTTTAACTGTCTCTTTCAGTGGTTCACCACTGCAGTTGGAGAAAAAGAGACATGACTTAATTCAGATATTATCCCAAGAAAAGGTGCCAAAATACTTTTAAGTCACAGTGCACTAAGATCATTCTGTATCTTAGCATATAATATTGTTGCACTATTTACTTGCTTGTTGTACTTGATCAGTGACCTATCAGTACCCACTGTCCCTTGTTTTAGATTGCAACCTCTCCAGAGCAATGGCTGTAAATTAATACAATGGGATCACTGCCATTGACCACAAATCTTACTTGAAGGTAATTCAGCACCAAGAGACAGTCTAATTAAGAGCATGTACACTACAAACATTTAGACGAATCATGCTGAACATGCATTTTAAGTTCCTTCATACCATTAGCTTGTTAAAGACTTCTGGAATCAGTAGGATGATAATTGTCTGCAGAATATGTGTACAACAAAGATAACAAAACTAGCTTTTAATCACATTATTATAAGTTCAAGTAATATATTATGAATAAGAATCATGGCCAAAATCTTGCAATGAAAGGTTTTCTACTAACAAGATAGCAAGGCACAGAAGAGATAACAATTCTTTCTACCCTGGTATGATTTCAGGTTACATTTTTATAATAAGCTTCCTTATGAAATTAGAAAAAATATTTGAGAATATTAACTGATTCAAAAATTAAAAAAAAAAAGAGAAGGTTTATTTTAAGCTTTTATTTTAAATAAATAAATAGTTATTTCAACCATTAGCAAACAATAAGTTGGCTCCATTGTTCTCAATATCCTATCACACATCCAACCTGACATTTTCATTTACAGCAACATAATCTTTATATGCTAGAAGCCTTCATTCTTGAAATAAACCTATTGATTTTGCTGCAGACAAGTAAGAAATTTGTTTCAGTATCTGAGCAGTTACACCATTCATCTTCTACCAGGAAGAGATAATTTCCTAACCACTAAGTTTCCAAGACAAGTTATGCTAGGATCTACCGAGATCCTAGAGGGATCCTAGAGAGAGGTTCCATTACCCCTTCTCTCAAGGGAACTGTGAAGCACTGTGAAACTAAAATTAATTGAGTAAGTTTTACTTCAGCTCTGTTCCAAGCAGCAAAGGCTAGTGGACCTTATCAGAGTAAACAAGTGTTTTAAAAAACTAACAGTGGAGCATTAGAAATCCAAAGTCCTCTCAGCTCCACCCACCTCATCTTTCTCAACATGTAAACTTGAAAAAAACCCAGAAACCCCAAATCTAAACCAGAAAAACAAATTCTAGCAACAATTAGATAACTTTGCTGTTGGAAGGAGAATTACAGATATAACATCTTTCTCTGTCAGTGGGAAGAGACAAACACATCAGCAAACATCAGCCAGAGATCTGCAGGAACTACACCTGTGGGGAAACAAACCAGTGACAGCTCCCTGTCCTGACAGTAAGGATGCTCAAGAACCTCCTCACTAAGGGACTTTTCTTTAGGAGGCTGTGGTAGGCCTTCCCACTGGTGCTCACATGCTAACAAACTCAATGGTACAACAAACTTTGGAGCAACAAACATGATGACCATTCCCTGAGGCATACAGGAGCCTCTTATTTATAACTTATTTTTAATAGAAACAAGGTACTTACCAAATTCTCCTAAAAATGACCTGAGTTACAGAAAAAAGGCAGATAATTAATACTAAAATATAAAAAGGCAACAGTGATGACTGTGTTAGTCGCAAAAAGAAGTCTTGGGAGGGTGCCTGAAGAGATTCTTGACAAAGGAGCCAATTCATTGTAAAATTCCTAGTAAGGAAATAACATTCCATTAAAAACAATAACAATGTCCCATAGATTAGAAAAAAAAAACAACCAACAACCCTGCACGAAACAATCCCAGTTTAACCTATTCATGTCATGGGAAACTACTTGAAATTCATCTTTGAAAAGCTACCTTTTTATCATTTGAAACTGCTTTGCAAATACTCCTTAGAGTAACTGTCAAAAGGTTATCTTCCCAAAAAGCATCTGTGATCTGAACAGACCTGATTACAGTTCCTTATATCACAAAAGCCCAGCTTCCCATATAACTCCATTATGGGAACCAAAAGAATCTTGTTGTCACAATGGATTAAGATTTTAGAGATATTGATGCAAGAAGGTATGCTTGTCCTCATTCCAAGCAAGGAGATGAAGAAGGGAAAGTGGTCATCTGAGATCACAAAGAAGCCTGAGGCACTGCCAGGAATAAAATCCTTAATGTTGAAATTCTAGTTCTGTAGCTGAAGCCACCTGAACATTCTTCTTTCTGAGCAAGCAGGAAGATAATACACTCTGCCCAGAAGCACTGTCAGTGTGTACTCTCAACTGGAACTGCTACAAGCATGTGGTGCTGTGAATGCATTCTTGTCTTTGTTTTGCTTTCGTCCCTCTTTTCATTTTCTCCCAAGGGAAGACTAGAGGACAGAACCACTTTCAATCAGACAGTTTAAAGATTAACAGCTGGGCATGTCCAAACTGGCCTTAAAAGATAGATCTTCAAGCTCTTGTGCTGCAAATCATAACTCCAGTACACAGTTATGCAGTGTTCCAGGTGTAAAGGCACCCAGTTTCTCTCATTCTCTGGCTTCACTGGACAGCCTGAAAAGTGAGGTTCAGCAAGGTCCCAGGGGGAAAAAAAGGAAATCTCTTAATACCTGGGAGCTGAATAAACTGAAATCCTGACCAGGAGTCCTTTCTTTTCTTGCAAAACACTTAAGAATGGGTATGTGTGTGTGTTAAACAATGCATCGTAGTCAATGTCAGTACATCTTGTCTTCCAAAAGCTCCCCAACAGTTTCAGTTGCGTGTGATGTCATTTTCCACTTGTTCCCCTGCAACGTTGTGAAGTAGTTTTTTGTAAGAGATGCAGCTCTTCAGAGAGAGTTCCAATCCCTGCACAGAATTGCAAATCTTGGCTTGGTTCCAGGAGTGTGTCAGTCCTTACTAACACTCCATTGGAAGTTTTCCAGAAAATCTGTTGCCATGACATCTTCTTGCAGTCCAACATCCAACTCCTTTACAGATACTAATGCTTTTCCTTAGAATCACAACAATTCCCTCTGACTTTTAAGATGTCCCTTGTCCTAATTTCTTCCAAAACATTACAGGAAGTATTGGGGATACCCACAACCCAAGTCTCTTTTGAGATAGTATCAATAGTTCATGACTCTTTCCAGAGCCTTTTTTCCAGGCTATTAAAAGCTCATACTGCTACCTTTACCCTATTAGCTTTGTTTTCAAGTCTTATTAGAAACACTAGACAGGACACAGAAAGTTTTCACTCTTCAACATCACAAGAGAACAGAAACCCTTTCTTTCTGAGGCACTTCAGTATTTTTCATGCCTTGGGATGAAAGCATTTCATTTCAAGGCATGAAAAATACTGAAGTGGAAACCTTAATACCTTAAGTAAATTCTGTACGTGCATATTTTTTTTACTTCAGTCTTAAAACCAGACAACAAATAACTAAACTATTTCCCTAGCTCCTCTATAAAACTCTCACAAGACAATGAAATATTACACTTCTCAGAGCAGTTTCAAAAGTTTGGATATCTTGGGAGGTGTAAAGAGTTTAAATAAACTTACTTAGTTGTGTTTAAGCCAAGTTTTACTTCAATGAACTTCAGCAAATGCTCATTTTCTTTATGAGGAATGAACATCTGAAAATTAATTTATCAGAGAAAAATCATACAAAATGCTGGAAGCAGTTTTCACATAGTCATTCAGATTATAAAAGGTCAGGTAACTAAATCTACTCAAGATTTAGTTAAAACTAACAAAATGTATTAAGTGTGCCAATTAAGGTACTGGTATAGTATTGTAAATCTTCACTTCAATAATCTACATTTAGGGTCTACTTGAGAATATTATTCCCTTCATTCCACTCCCATACCACAACAGGAGGGCAAGTGAAAAGTTGCCAATAAGTTGTCAAGAGACTACTGAGCAGTGTAAGGAGGATCATGAAAATCAGACACAGACTTACTCACAAGCAAGCCTAAGAGTGCTGTGCTTGGCTCCACTAGAAAATAGGACTTCAGCTGAGCAAAAGTCATGAGCATTTGTAATCTTCATACAGATTGTCTGAGCTGCCTAAAGTTCTGTAACTTACTCACAATTGTAATTTAACTCACATTTTTCAAGATTAGACTTAATTTTCCTGGAGATACAGTAAGGCTAATCATTCTGAATGGCACAAGAAAATAATTACATGTGAGCATTCTTTCAAGCCTTCTAGGGTTCAGTAGTTTGTTTACTTTTAATCTAATACTGTTAATTAACACAATTATGGTGAGTTTGAGACGGAAGAAAAGCACAATGATGTGTGTAAAAGGCCAGCAAGAGGGAATTGCTAATCAAAATACAAGACCAGGCTAAAATCCCACTGTGTAATCTCAACTCCTAACTGATTCCTACACAAAGTGAAAACCTCTGTTTCCATGTTCTACTTGAAATGTAGTAGAAAATTAATATCTACCCTGAGACTACTCATAGTTGTTCCTGGCTATTGTGTCATTATGCACAAGAATATAATTTTAATATTTTGACTAGTCTGTAGAGGCCATCCAAGTTATAACAAACCCCAAATTTAAGCAATAGATAAAATGTCTTTTAAAGAGTATTTCTATGCTGTTTCAACCCAAAAGACCAAAACCCCAACAAGACCACGCTGTTTGAGCTGCTACAAAATGACTCAACTTTTAGCAGTCATACTAACTATGAATTAAGCTATGAACTAGCATATCAAAAAAGACAAGCAACACTTCAAAAGATTTTTTCAAGATTTATCTGCAACTTTCAATTCAGATTCTGAAATTAAAATCACTTTTTCAGAGGAATCTTACCTTTAATAAGAAGTTTAGTGTCACTGCTACCGTAAGTACCAAATAAATATACATTATTTTCAACAATCTTGACACAAAGGTACTTTTTTTCATATTCATCTGCAAAAATATTAAAGAATTCTGTATCATTTTGGAGTTCAGTTTAAATTTTAAAATTACACTCAGGATTAGAAGAAAGTCGAGTTACCTGAAGGGATTTGGAGAACATTAAAGCTACCACAAGACTCAGTAATGGTGACACTAGTAAGGCTGAATTTTCAAACTGCAGAAGGTAGCCCCCGATGAGAGAAAACAGGTAGATTCTGTATACCTCATGCACCTGTTGAAGAAAAAAAAAACCAATAAAATAAAACTATGATGGATATAAATCCTGCTTTTTAGAGCAGTAGATAGCTCACTTCCTCTGTTAATCAAGGGATTAACAGATCTCAATCCTTCTGAAAAGTATTGCACGTGAAAATTATTCTGGTCAGATCCAGTAACTAATGGACAATTCACAAGAATTCTGTAAAAATGCCAGAAGCAGGAATATTTTACCAGGTCTCCCCATTCAGTAACACCTCCCTGTGATACAGCACAAAGCAGTAACTACAAGGCACAAGAAAGAACACATAATTTGTGACAGAGCTCACCTGCAAACAGGTGCATTCCTTGCCCTCAAAATAACTTGTTCCTAACCTGTCTCAGGAATGAATACTCAGACTGTTATCTATACTTGCTGTTATTTACTATTTGATAAGCAAATCTTATAAACCTTGATGCTTGATTCTTCAGACTTTTACCAAAACACCCATTTTCTCCCTTATATACCCTGCTTTGAACTACAACAGATCAAACATTTCCCACTGCTGAGGAACAGAATAAAGAGAAACTGAAAGAACAGATGAAGAATTAAAATCCCATGCAGTTTGATATCTAATAAAACCAGAAGGCACACAAGTACAAAGGAGCATATATACCACTGTAACATGCAGAATAAAAATGCCTTGTTGCAACATTTCTAAGAAACATTTTGCAGAATGAATTTAAATACTATCTTGTATTGAAAAATCAATTTGCCTTCAACATCTGTCTAGTCTATTTATTGGCAAATCAGTGCAGGACAGGCCACTGAGGGTGAAAATGAGCCCTTTGACTGCACAGAGCCAACAGAGCACTTCTTTGGTCTGCCCACCCTGCTGTGAATAGGTGAAAGAAAAGAAGAGGCAGCTAGACCAAAACAGAGGAGTATCATTCATCACTCTTTTAGCTCCCCAAGGATGTTTCAGGTCTCAGAAGCTTTGTTCTGAGACACAGCAGTCCAAAAGAGACTCAGTTTAAAGTTATTTTATTCTTCTGGTAGATATCACATGCACTTCAGCTGGGCCCAGGCTGCAAGACATTCATCACTCAGTCTCTTGTGCCCTCTGGAGCTCCTGAGCAGTATGAATGGCAGGCAACTCAGAGGCTGCCTGTAAGTCCCCAGTCAGTAGGCTGAAAAGTTCCAATACCTTCTCTGTCTGTGCTAGGGCAAAGCTGTCCAGCAGGAAAAGAGAAACAGCCTGGACAAACAGGAGATAATGACTGTATTCCCACATCATCATGAAGGTATACGTTGAGGCATTCACCAAAAGATAACAAAACTTCTAAAACAAAAAGAAGAAAAGAAAAGGCATTAATTTTGTACCCATGCATGTCTGTCACCAAGAAACTGAGGTCATTAAAACATAAACTATGGAAATAAATTATTAATTTGGGAAATAATTAAAACGCTGACTTCAGACATGCTTAACTTTCAGAAGGAAGAAAGTAATTGCTGAAATACTCAAAAACATTTCAAGCCAATCAGAAGAAACATTTTTGAGAGAGAGTCAAGGTAAGAAAGTAACAGCCATCTTCTTCAAGAAAAACAGTTTACATGAGAAAAATCCTGCCTCAGTTTATTTAAAAAATGCAGCACGTGGTCCATTACCACACTGCTCTCTCTGAGCCCTCCTGGTGGCATAACAAGGTAGGGCACAAGTTGCTTAGCAAAAACTGCACATGCCTAGGTGACATCCAACTGGGTCTTCAGAAAAGAAGAAACAAAACATCTACTGTTTTCTGCCCAGAAGGACAACAATAGCAGAAGTAACTACCCTAGAGTACAGTTTTACCAGCAGCTCTTTTATTAAGAAACTAATTTTGTTTTACCTCAGCAGAACAGTTTAGGTTCTTTTTTAAATAGCCTGTGAGAGCTGCTACTTGACATGCAAAATACGGCAAAGCCCAATTTTCTCTTGATGGTATAGAGTAATCAATTCTTGTTGTATCTGTCCTAGAATAAAGTACAAAGAAACAAAAATATTAAAATATTTATGGAACAAAAATATCAAGGAAAGCCTAAACATCACTTCCAGTTGTACATGAGGCCTTGCAAGCAAACTTTTCCTGATTTTGGTGCAAAGTAACACTGACACCATTTTCCTGCTCATACAGTTCACAGATTTATTAACAGCATGGAAGGCCAAATCTTTACCCATCAATTTAGCAGGTGTCCATGTTAGCTATCATTTACAGGACTGAAACCAAAAAAGCATCTGCCTTGAGCCTTTTCTGACCTGCAATGAAAATCAGCTCATAGCTGGGAGAAACTATTCCTTTCAGTTCTCATATAATATGTTTTAAACAAGTGATTTAGGTACTTGAGCACAACATACTCAGGACAAACTGGTGCTCGCTCACAGCAGCAGCAGCAAATATTTTGTCTACGGGGAAAAATTCTGCCCAGCAAAACAAGAGAGTAAAGATGGATAGGGAGCATGCAGGGTTTTATCATGGAATGACTTGACAGTATCCACACAATTAGAGGTGTAGGTGAAAGTTTTTTAAAGTGCTAAAGTGACTCAGAAGCACAAGCCACACTTTCAAATGTGATCAAAGGCATCAGTCTCAGAGGTACATAGTCTTCTTTGTGTCTACTATGCCTTTAAAAAGGAGCCTCAGACTCCTTTATCATTCAGGTATTCAGAAGCATCACCTTTCATTTCTTCCTCTGAAGCCTCTTACAGAGGCATTTTTGGATCTTTTTTAACTACTAAACCTTTCATTTTGTTGACACTGTTTGATGTTATTCACTGTTGAAAAAAATTACAGATTTATCCACCATTTTTCCTATTTTCTACTGTTCATACCAACTTGATGAATAGTATTTTCAGCTACTAATCACAGATCCTGTCATGATGACTTCACACTCCTAGAAGATGCTTCCCAGCTGTTCAACTTTAAAGGTAAATCTCCAACATTTTGTTCCATATTTCAGGTGCTCTCAAGTTCACAGAAAGCCCCAGAGCTCCATGGTGACAAACCAAGAGCATGAAAATAGGTTTACATTGCCCAAATGAGGCTCCCTATTATTGTGGTGCTTCCTAAGGAGAAGGGGAATTCCAAACAAATTGTTTTAAAATAAAAAAAAATCTTAGTATTAAGATCACCTAAGAAAATTCCACTTTGCAGAAAAACCCACTACAAAAAGAAGATTAAAAAAACCAAATGTCACAATATTTAGAGCTGGCCACAGAGTGCAGTTCTGTTTTACAGCTGTTTTGGATATTTGTCTTCGTTCTTCATCAGCACAAAACCAAATCTCCTGAGGAATTTTTTTGAAAAATGAAATTGTCATAAAGTCAGTTCAACTGGTAATGTGGATGGACAACAGGAGGCCTTTCCATTAAAAAAATTATCATGAGAATCAATGAATCTCTTGCAAATGTTTTCTATTCACCATAAGATATTGTTCTCACAGTGAGAACAAAAAACTTAATAAAAGCATTTCAATGCACTAATTAAAATCATTTCAATCCACTAATATTTTAAAATGCCTTATTGACAAACTAGATTGTATAAAGATGTTTTTCTTACCTGTTAATAATGAACCATGCTACAGTCAGCATTCCTGCCAGCCAAGTCCCACTCATAACCCAACTGGTTACAAACAATGCAGTCACATAAATTCCCTGCAGTCCAAAAACTATACCAATGTAGAAATACACTGGTTCAATAACTTCCTGAAATTACAAATAAAAACGAAGAGACATAGTGGCAACTGAGCTGAAGCTGGAAATTATTACTATTTACAATTTGTTACTGCTAACAATGTGCTAGGTGCTTTACAAACAGGTAAGAGACGCCTCCTATTCTAGAAAAGTACTGGGCATGCTTTTATTTGGGGCTCAGGAAGAACAAAGCAATGTGAATTAAGTGCACACTTCAGGACTCAGCTTGCCAGTGCCATGATTTTTGAGTTTGCTTTAGCTTGAACACTCTATGTGTCAGATTTAATAAATCTATGCTGCAGTGGGATATAAAGATCAAAGGACTACTAGAAGAAGTTATAAAAGGGAAGAACTTGAAGAAGTAAAGATGTGGCAAAAATGGTTCCAAAATAAGTAAATAATAAAAAAAGAAAGATGAGAGAGGACATAAGTACACAGCATAAGCAGAACAAAGCCTGAGTAGAGTGTAAACTGACAAAAGGGTAATCTACAGAAGTGCTTTTCCCTATGGGCATTGGACAGACAGATACCACTATAACAGAATTCTGTACTCCAAAGGAGTTAATTTTCCTGTTTTTAATGGATAGCACAGATACTCCTGACATTTCTAAGTAGTCTGTAGAAGTAAAGAACAACAGATAAGGTTAGTGGTTAGTGTTAAACCCCAAAAATCCTATGGCAGAGACTGATCAGAATTGAGGAGAACCTGGACCTGGTGAGAGCCTTAGCTCAACTCGTTCAACAAAAATGGATGTGTTCATTGGATCCAGCACAGAAAGTCTCATACTCACACACACAGATACAACCATAATGAAAGTACAGGAAGTAGGAGAAATGCACATACTTCGCTACCAGATGCTTGATATAAAACACTGGCAATCAACTCTGGGTACAAAGTCATTTGCTGAACAGCATTTATGGTCTTCAGTGATACTGTCTTATTGTTGTGTGTCAACTCATAAACACCTACAGACAAAAAAAAAAAAATATTATTCTTGGAATCACTTACTACTGGCTGTACATAAAAGAGGCCACAAAGTGTATTCAAAGGTAGGGGGAAACAGATTTGATCATTAAAGCTGCTGACTGATTCACCACACCTAGTTTTAAAGGAAGGAGAAACTTCCGTGTTAGATGTCATTCCACTCACTGATCTAGCTAGAAAGTTACTACCCTTTTTTCATCTAGTCTTTGAATAGAAGGCCCAAAACTAATCATCTGAAGCACAGTCTTTTCAGTAACACACTGATGTTACTGAATGCAGTCCTGGAACTACTTGCCTATAGATCACCTTCACAGGAAGATATTAAGGAGTGAGACAGATCTAACAGGGATGAGCATGATGTATTAAACCCATCTCCAGAAGGACACAGGTATGATGGCTTCATCACCCCTTTCAACTCTGCATTTCTGAGATTTCTAAGAATCATTCACCAAACACAATGTGCCTTTCTATGAGATTAAGATGGAACTGAAGCTGCCATACTTGAAGGATCACTCCAAGATCATTCCAAAATGTTATAAATAAAGAAAAGACTTGTCAATACTTAGAACAATAGAGCAAAACTAATCTAAATCAAGATATGGGGGAGAACAAAAGGCTCAAAAACAATGCAACAGTCAAACCAGACAATTGTTTCCAGCTCTGAGCATATCTTGCTGTATGGTCTGCAGCTGGTTCTCTGTAGGCCAAACAAGGTCTTTCAGGACTTGTAACTGGGCTCAGCACAGCTGTAATACACTCTTGAAGACTGGATGCCTTGTGATACCTTGTAGACACCTGAGTCTACCTGTTTGCAGAGACAGCGTCCCTGAATGAGGCATGCCATCCACTCACAGCATGGGCAACGTCCCCAGAGGTCATGAGGCACTGAGTGTACCAAAGACCTCAGATATTGCTGATGTGCTACATTTCAGCTGGGAAACTGTTCAACCAATAAAACACTAAGCACAAAGTTTAGTTTTACTGACTTCAGTGAGGTTTCACTAAGGGACTGAACTAATTCAGTGGCTGACCACTGCAAGATAGGGCAGTTCAACCTCTTCTCTCCTGAATTCCAGCCCCATTCTAGTGCAGTTCTGAACTCCCTGAACTAGCATGGAAGTGCTCCTTCTTCTTTTCACTGCTTTAGTTTCCCTTTGGTTTAGGGACCTAGGGTCAGTGAGCCCAGAGCCAGCGCAGGATAAAGAGCAGGAGCACAAAGGAAGGAGAGATCATAGCCACTCAGTCTGTTCTCCTTCCTGTTGCTTTCTGTCCCCACCACTCAGTGCTCATCAGCATCTATTCATCACAGCTGACAAGAGTAAAAACTTCTATCAGGGACAGGATGGAGCAGATCAGCTTGTGACAGAAACTGTTCTGTCTTCTGGCAGAGGACAGAAAACAGTAATTTTCATCCCTCATTCCAAAATTCAACATAAATTATATTTACATGGCAGAAAATCTGCTACTGTGATACAGGCAAACTGAATGATAATTTTGATACAGGGCATCATAAGAGTAATATTAACCCTATCCTTTATTTGATTATTTGAGTATTGATTAAAGGCAATCTGCTGAAATACAGGATAGTTAACTACTCTTTTTGAAATGGCACTAAAAAGTTAGGACAGTGTGCGTATTTTAATTAATCTGACCAATATACCTACATAAGAGAACAAAATTAGTTCTCCCCAGTCTGCAGGAGTTTTTTACTGTCTACAAAGAGAACAAGACTTTTCAAAGTTAATAAAACAAATGAGTTTTGTACCTCTTTCAAAGGAAGGAGCCTTTAGCAGTTCTTTATAGAATGAGTAATAAATGGCACTGTCACCCTGAAATGTAATTTCCCGTTCAAGTTCCTAGGAAAAAAATAAATATTAATCTCGTGCAATCTCTTCCCAGAGAAGACTATCTATTTGCAGATAGACTGCTTCTGTAACACAGTACATGGTTATGACTTCACTGTACATCTTCAAAATATTCCACAAAACATTACTCTTCACAGCATTTCTATCAGGTACATAATGCTCTCTGTAACTTAGCAAACATGCTTGGAATCAAAGCAATTCAAATCCACATCGTAAATCAGCACGAAATCCACAGGATCTTTTCATATTCACAAACCTGAATTTCATTCAACTTTCTATACTACACTTAATAATGGAGTTCTTAAGAAAACAAAACCAAACCAACTAACCAAAAAATACAAAAAAACACCCCAAAAGCCCAAAATAAACACAGAAAACCCCAATAGCAAACCCACAACCCAACCCAAATAGCCCAACACATAATCCTGTTGATCAGCTTCTGCAATCCCATTATGCTTCAATTATTTTTCCATATTTTAGAAAGGTATTTTAAGAATAAAGGGTGGCATAGAAAAACATACAAAAGCATGACAAACCACAACTGTTAGCAGGAAGAAAAAAAAAAGAAAATTAAGAAGACAAAAAAAAAAATAAGCTGTTTCAAAGACAGAGGCCTCAATAGAAGAACAGGATTCTGCAAGTAGTCTCAACATTACACGGATCAGATTTGATTTCAAGGACACAATTTGGCTTTTGTTGCAGTAGTTTATCTTTACCTGCCTGCTGGAAAACCAGAATTTCCGTTCATGATATGTAGAGAGGTACACAGCATACATCATCCCACTGGTGACTGCTGCCAGACAGCCAAAGAAAAGCTTTGCAAAACGCTGGATTAACAGATCTGAAAATGAACAGTGGAAAAGCTAAAGTAGTCCAGAGGATTAAGAAACAAACAGTACATCCTACATATGACTAACTTCTGAACAACAATCAAACTTACTGGCATGAGAATTAGCACACTATCAGCAGCACAGATACATTGAAAACTGGTTTGTTACTTCTGTCCTGTAGTTTTAATTCCCAGTTGTTATTATTGCTTCACAGGACCTTCAGACAAAATACTCAAAAACTACACTGCAAATTTTCTCCAGCAAGCTTTGTTTTCAAATGAATTCCAAGAAAGAAAAGCATCTTCCAGATAATTATAACAAACTCTAGATTCTACCCAAAACACCACAACCTTCTTAAAGACTTTAAGAGACAGAGCTAGCATAGCATATCTAACATAATTTCTGAGACATTCCATTTTCCATTCTGTTTTTGAATATAAGAAAAAGAAATCTGAATTTTACCAAACTCATTCAAAGGGTGTCTATTTCATCTGTAGCTTCCTCGAGTAAGTATGTACTTTTAACATAAAAGCTTTTGGTAGCTCTTTACTTTGGGTGAGCACTTTACTAAAATTATATCTAGTTTTAGTTCTGTTTCCTGAAAAGCTGTAAGGACTTTTTGTCTGCTCTTGTTTCAGTACCATTACTTCATGCATATCAGCTTACAACCAGATCATTCCAGGAGCAATAAAAATATTTATTTGTATGCAAATAGTAACAGTAAATTTCTTAACTCCCCTGCCTCTACCTCCCCAAGCCTGAAACAGTCCAAGACTATAATTTCACTCTCCAGTACATAAAATGTCATTATTAAAGAAATCTAACATGCATGCCTGTTTTCTCTTGAAATATTTAAAAACTTAATTCAAAGTAAGTGTGTTATAAATTACTGTGCTACAAATATCTTCCCATAAAATGTAAGCGAATAATGAAAAAAATCAAAAAGTCAGCTGAAAATTCTGTAGCTTACATTTTGGCGACCTTCCCAGCTTTGAATTTTCTTTGTTTCTCTCCTCTGGAACCATTTTGTCAGATTCTGTGCTGTTTTGTTTCTTTCTCTCTCGCAGGTCTGCTGCCCCTGAAGACATTTTTTTTTTAAAGTTATTGTAACACAATACCTAAAATCACACTGGGAAATCCACACAGCAGCAGGTAGCAGCCAGTTACTGCTACTGATTCAATCCCATGGAAGACAAATTGGACAAAGACTCAATTAAAGTATGTCATATGCCCAACTAAAATAACAATATAACACTACAGAAATTAATTCTTACATTACTCCTTAGAAAAAACAACAGTATTCTCTTGAGGCCATACTCTGGGATTACCCAGAACCCAAACTGGAAGCTAACTGGTTTATTCCATTTGATGAACAGAAATGAAGGAAATTAGTAGTTTAGATACATTGATACAGACACTGGGAGAAACTGGTGCCAATTCCATTCTACTCTCATCCTGGTTTTATGCTGCTATAGCAGTGTAATAGAAAAATTGAGATGCCTATTACTTATATGGCAAAGGCTTTCATAAAGTAAATCTAATATCACCTTTTTCCAGCTTTTGGATCTACTGGAAATAAGCAGATTTACAAATATTTAGTCTAACATGTAATTAAAAAGCCCAGTCTGCTCAGCCACACAGATCACATCACAAGACCAAGGGCTTCTGTTAACTTTTTTGTGAGCAGCATCAGTTTGAAGTCCTGGACCATTTATTTTAATCTGAAAGGTAACAAGGCTAATTCACAGACTGCAAGTCTACATACAAAAAGACTCATTGCAGAAAGTATTTTATAATTCCTACATTAAAGATACCCCACAATATTTATGTCATTCCGGAAGTGGAATGAAAAGGTTTAACTGTAACTCACGCTCCAGAATTTTTAGCTCTCCTATTTGACCTACTGTACAGCATTGCTTGAAATTTAGCAGCCACCAATTTTCCTCTGGACTTAAAACAGCTCCTTTATAAACCCATCCAACTTCAGGCTTGAAGTGTCAATCTTCACACCCTACAACAAAGCTTCTAAGTACTCTGGTTGTATATTACTTCAATTCCAATTCTACAGTCTACTTTTAATTCCTGGCTATTAGATCTAAAAGTTAGAAACTACAGATAGAAATATAAATGGTTAAAGTGATGTCTGCCTGTATCAGGAGACCGTTGTGTTAACAGAGCAATTTGTAAATCATCCTGAGCAAACCAAGATCTCAATAGTAACATTTTTGATGGAATGAACAAAAAATGTCTACCTTCTTAAAAACAAGACAAGAACTGGAAAGATTCTAAACAACACAAGGTGTTCAGTATCACATTTATTATCATGTCAATCCAAAATTAAATGTATACCAGCATCTCTTCATTACATGTATATGAGAAGTTTATCAGCAATGCAAACACCAAGTGCACTGTAGTTAAAAATCATTTGTACTATGTGAAATAAAACACAGTGGGAGAAAACCTGAGATCACAAAAGTGGGCAGATACGTGCTTGGAAGGACAACTGAGTGCCCCTGTCATTCTAGTTATGACCAAAGCAATAGCACTGAGAACATAGGAGGAAAAGGCCTTTGCATCTCTGGCAGAGAAGTGTACCATAGCAGAAGTGTAACAAATTTATAAAGTATTGCATTAACAGCAGCTATAGAAAGCTCACAAAGAAGTAACAATTTAAAATTCTACTTCTGAAACACCATCTCAATCAGCAAATTATCTTCACCTCGATTTTCAAGACTGCTCAACATATTCCCCCCCTAAGCAGTAACACAAAAAGATGTGTGTTACTTCTGTTTCTTGCAGCTGCCGCAAACAAGAAAAATTCTTTCACTTCAATGAATCCTTCAAAGAGAGTGAAATGAAAGTCAAACAAGGTAACAACTAAAAATTACCTAGAATTTTGAACTGATGACACAGCCTCTAATATCTCTTTATCCAACACATGATTTTTCATCTGCTTTTCACTTCCCTGTAAGTCCCCAGTTCAAACGAGTTCTTGTTCAGAAAACATGTGTTCCACTTATTTTTGTGTTTCTACTGCAGAAAAACATAACTCATTCCTCCTTTGTGCCACTATACTCATCTACTTTTCACCTATTAATTGAACACTGTCTGTAACTTTGTCTTCTCATCTAAAGAAGGATAAGATAGAGCTGGGAAACATTCAGAGAAGGGCCATGAGGGTGATTTAACTCGTGCAATGGCTCCCATACAAGGGACGAGGAAGCAAATTGAAGATGCCTCAGTCTAGATAGAAAAGAAGATGACCAAAAGAAGCATGTCAGACATCTACTAGTTAGTGAAGTGCACAAACACACTGAATAGAGAGCAGTGATTCACCTTTTCTAATACAAGAAGTTCTCAAACAAACCTAGTGAGTCAGGCTAAAAAGAACCAGCTCATTGCACATCACCTTCACGAAGAACACTCCTACCCAAAGAATGTTCTGTAAACCAAGAGTTTGCAGAGATTCATAAGAATACTGACACAGTTATGGAGGATAAGCAACTAGAGACCCCTGAACATACAGAAACCATGTGCAACTCAGAAAGTACCCCGGCTGAGAACAACTGGGAGGCTGGAATGCGCCATGGGACAGATTTGCATACGCTTGTTTTGCTTGTTTTCCCACATTTTTCTGGGTGCCTATTAACAGTTTTGTTTCTGCTGATTTCTCCAAGAAAACTAAATGCCATCTCCTATCCCCTACTAAGGGGGTTTGCACTGAAAAGACATGGAGAAAAATGCTTGTGTAGGGGCTAAAAGTGAAACAGAATCGCAGAATACCCTGAGTTGGAAGTGACCCACAAGGCTGATCCACGTCCAGATTATTGACCCTGCAGAGGACACCTCAATAATCACACCATGTGGCTGAGAGCAGTTTCAAAGCGCTTCTCGAAAGCTGTCAGGCTTAGGGCCGCGTCCACCTCCCTTTGGAGCCTGTTCCAGTGCCCAAGCACTCTCTGGGTAAAGAAACCTCTCCCTAATACCAATCTAAACCCCCCCATACGCAGCTTCAGGCCATTCCCTCGGGTCCTGTCGCTGGTCACCACAGAGAAGGGATCAGAGTCTGACCCTCCTGAGCAAGCTGCAGACTCTGATGAGGTCTCCGTCAGTCTTCTCCGGGCTGAACAAAACAAATAACTTCAGCCGCTTCCCCTCAAGGCCCTTCACCACCTTCGTACCCCTCTTTAGGGTGCACTCTAACGAACTCTAACTTAACGAAACGAGACAGAAGACTGACTAAAACATGCGGAAGGATGCCAAAGAGAAAGTACACTCAGGGAGGCATCCACGGAGCCCACAGATGCTGCCCCGGGCGCTCTGCCCAGAGACAGTGCCAGGCGAGGGAAGAGAAAAAGACCCCACGTCCCCTGGAGACCGGCCCAGACTCCCGCTTGGGGCTGCAAAGGACAGGCCGCCTTGGGCTGGGGCCCGGGAGGCCGCCTGTGTCCTGCAGCCCAATGTTCCACCTTCGTCCGTGCGCGGCGGTCCCGGCACGGCCCTGGCACAAACCGCGGGGGGCGGCCACATCGCCGGCCTGAGCCAGAGGCCTGGCCCCGACCGCCTCCGCCCGGCCCCGGCTCCGCGGCCTGAGGAGCCGCCCCTCACCTTCCTCCATCGCCGGCCTGTGCCCGCCGCCCGCCGCTGGGTCCCCCCGCCGCTCGCTGCGGGGCGACGCGTCCGCCCCGGCCGCGCCGCCGCCACCGCCGCCCGCCTCCCGCCGGCCGCGGGGGCGGGAATGCTCCCGCATCCCCCGGCGAGCGGAGCGGCCCCGCGCTTCCTCCCACCGCCGGAACTGCGGCTGCGGAGCGCGGGGGGCGGCCGGAGACGAGCGGCGGCGCACCGGGGCACAGCGAACGTACGGGGGCACTGCGAATGTAGCGGGGCACAGCGATCGTACGGGGGCACTGCGAATATAGCGGGGCACAGCGATCGTACGGGGGCACTGCGAATGTAGCGGGGCACAGCGATCGTACGGGGGCAGTGAGAATGGCGGGGCGGCGGGGCACAGCGGGCGCGCCGGCAGTACAGGGGCACCACGGGCACAGCCACCGTGGCGGGGCACAGCGAATATAGCGGGGCGCTGCCGGGCGGTGTCAGCGCTCCCCTGCGGGAGCTCCGCGCTGCCTGTCCCCCCGCGCAGCTCCCCGGTCCGCTCCGTGCCGCTGCCGCCTGCCCGCCCCGCTCCCGAGGGACCGGGCGCCTTCAGAGAGGCCGCGGGGCCCCAGATTAGCTTGGACAAGAGGAGAGGCGGAGGGACCTTATCGCTCTCTACGATTACTTGAAAGGAGGTTGTAGCCAGGGGAGCGTCGGTCTCTTTTCCCAGGCAACCAGAGCTAGGACGAGAGGACCTGGCCTCAAGCTGTGCCAGGGAAGGTTTAGGTTGGACATCAGGAGGAATTTTTTTACAGAAAGGCTGATCAGACATTAGAACGGGTTGTCCAGGGAAGTGGTGGAGTCAGCGTCCCTGGAGGTGTTTAAGGAAAGGCTGGACGTGGCACGTTGTGCCAGGGTCTAGTTGACATGTTGGTGTTCGGTCAGACATCGGTCTCGATGATCTCAGAGGCCTTTTCAAACCTAATTGATTCTGTGATTACGGAACTGGTAACTCTTCTATGGAAGAGGTTTATGGGAATTGCCCCTTGGAGGCTGTCTGTCTCCTGACCTGCAGTAAGGCCAGTGGCCGATCAGCTCTGGAAAACTGATTGCTTGTCTGGCAGCTGCAAGGAAAAACTAAATCAATATGTGTGTCCTGTTGGAGTGTAAAATGAGATTTATAAGTTTCCTGGATTTTTTAATAAAATCTAAAATACTTCTGCAGTTACTGATTTATTGACTAGGGAAAGGAGTTGCTTATGTTTTTAATGATCCACATATTATCCATTGCATTTCTAATGCATCCTGTTTGATCCGGGGTTTTTTTTGGTGTTTTTGTTAGTTTAGGGTTTGTTTTTTTTTAAGTTACTGGAATAAGCAACAATAATCATTGCAATGAAAAGAACAGTAATTGTTTTAAATATTTGCTCAGACCTTTGGTACATGGACAGACATAAACAATTGCTCAGTTGTGCTCTAGATGTTCTTTTTTATTAAGCCTTCTTTGTACCTGCTCTTGTATAGTGTACCTTGTTGCATTTATTGTGGAACTTCAGTTTTCTACTAATGCTCCAATATGGATCATCCCACACCTTGGTTTCAGTAAAATTATAAATGCACATCAAGTTATTTACATGCATAACTGTATAGTTAGCAAAGAAATGAAAAATCCAGCCTGCTCACTCGATTTTCATTTTTTCCTAAGGAAAAAAATTGCACATTCGAAGGTGGGAGAACCAAAAAACATTTTTCATGCAAGTTTCTTTCTCCTAGAATGAATATGCTGAAATGATTGTTAAGGTAATGTTGAAAATGTTATTACTGTTGCTCTTCAATCTTCCAAAATGCTTTCTGTAACTAATATTATATGAAAGTTATTTCATTTGAAAGCTTATTATGTGCCCTAAACATTGTGCTGTAATACATTACAATGAATAAATACAAGGATGTTGTGTTCTTTTTCCAAGCTTTCTCTGTACAAACATGCATCATGTATCTGCATGGTGTCATTTGTTCTCTGTTTACATATTATTTCTAAGCCCTGCAGACATAACTTTCCTTTTTATTTACAAGTTCATGATACTGATGCATTCCAGTTTAACAATCATTCTTTCTCTCCTTTAGAGATTGTTGTCAGGAGACAGACACAGACCTTAGTATAATGCATTAATACTGGGCATGTTTGTCATTACACAATTTTTTTTAAAAATGTAGTTGTTTATTTTGTAAACAAACCAAGTTATATTTTTTTATGTTAAAAGATCCCATGCCTAAAAATTATCTTTCATGTTTCAATAATCAGGTAACAACTGTGGATATTTCACAAGTTCTCCTAATTCCAGCCTTTTGTAGGGCTAATTTTCAAGCTGCTAACTTACAGTTCTGGATTGTCAGTATCCAGGGGTTTCACTTATTTTAATTTTTTCAGATTCTTCCCTCCTCAAAGCTGTATATTTTGTATCAAAGTGTAAAAAAGTAGTGCCTACAAAAACAGGCAGTAGTGCCTGTTTGTGAAACCAAAATTTTGCTTAAAGTTGGAAAGGTGTGCTCTCCCACCTGATACTGAGACTGCGAGGAAATAAGTGGGGAGATATTGAGGGATAATGATAATATGGAAGCATTACTTAAAATAGGACCTAAGAAGTCCTAAGAAAATTAAATTCCCCAAAATATATAGAACCTTTGGGATTTTTCCACACCTTTTTAATTCTTTTCCTGTCTTATTTCAGCACAGCTTCCAGTGGTTTTGATTGCTTCAGCTCCTGCCTGCCTTGGCTAGGATATAAGTGAGCCAGGTTATATTGTCATCTGCTGTATTGTAAAACATGGAAAATATACATTAAATCAAGGGAGCTGATTTAGATTTGCACTCTGAAACTGAGCTGGGGACATAGAAACATGCTTTGGCTCTGTTCCCTCTTAGTTTCAATCCTCTGGTGGTAAATCTATGTTTTGATTTCTCCTGTGGCCTTTGGAATTTCTTCAAACAGCGCTCCTCCTAGAAGACAGCATCCTCCAGATGGAAGACACTACAGATAGGATTGCCATGACCATCTTCCTGTTCTTTCTACCCTGCCTCTTACATTTACTGTCCTTGAAGCAGCTTGAGAGATCCTGCATATTCATTTTCTTTGCTTCTTCCTGTCACTCCTTGTGCTTCCCTGTAATCTAGAACTAACTCATGTCACCCTGTGTTTAGATATGTGATACTCGACAGCCTCTCATCCTGTGCACTTTCTCTTCTACATCCTTCTAACCATCTCCATCTTCTCCATCCCTTTTTTTTCTCTCTCCATCCCACCTGAAATAATTCCTTCTTTGTTTTCAGCCTCTTAAATGGCATTGATCCTTATCACAATTGCCTTTATCTGACCTGTAATTTTCCCTGTTAGTTTCTTGCTTTTCATCTTACCTCATAAGACCAAGCCATGTCAGCTGACTAATTGCCGTATTGCTCCTTCAGCCCAGGTGCCTGAAGAGCACTGTATCAGGATTTTATATATATATATTTAGTTAGTCATGGTAAATGGACTACAGGAGAAAAATCTTGATAAATGTTTGTTCATTTATCAAACACACAAACACACACCCTCAGTGATCTGACTTGCTTTCTGTACCACTTCTCTCTTTCTGCTCTTGCTCTAATTCTTGTTTGTGCTGCAGGTGAAGTTCCTCAGAGCAGAAGGCTGACCCTTGCATTTGTGAAACATGCAGAGTATTGTGTCCCTGGCCAGAAATAACAGTGAGGGAGCATAACTGGCCGATAGCTGCCTTGCCCTCCATGTGGCCTCTGCTCTGTGAGGAGACCCACTGCTCTGCTATTGTCTCTGTCCTTTCCTACACTCCTTTTTTCTCCCTGAGCTGTCTCTTTGACTTTTATCCAAGGATAAAGCCCTTTGAGGTGGATGACTCACAGCTCTGCACTTGCTTTGACTCACACTTTGCCACTTAGTATATTGGTCAGCTCTTACTAAGCTGCAATTTGAGTTTTTTTATTGCTAATGACGACAAGCCTTACAGCCCACATCTTTGATTTCAGTAATTTCTGCTGGGTCAGAGCTATGCTTGTTTTCTCCACAATTGGTCAAAGCTGTATTTCCCCTTTCTCCCTCTTCCTGGGTTTGATACCTTTTGATTTTTTAAACATCCCCTGAAGATTTCAGAGTCTGGAGGTCTTTTTGTCTCTGGTGCCCAGCTGTTTGGGCTGCATTTCTGAGGGTGAAGGTGCTGGTCCCCACACAGCCTGCCCTGCCAACATGGAAAGGCAGCCTCATCCCTTGCCTCCCCACACAGCATCCTCTCTATTCATCAGCTGCTTGACCGGGAGCAGCTCATTCCCCAGCTTCCCGTGGCATCCCCAGTAACACACCTAGAGTGGTGACAGAAAGTTGGTGTCATCACACGGGTGCTGGTGATGAGGGCTTAGCAAACACTTCAGCTGGTGCAAAACAAGCACCAGAATTCAGGTCTCTTTTTAGGCAGTCTGTTGTCCATGAAGGGCAGGCCTAGCATGACTGGAGTCACTGAAACCCCATCCCTGGCACTGACATTAGCAGGAATGATTGATTACATTTAGGAGGTTGCTCTTGTAATATTGTGCTGGCCTTTTTTATATAAGCATTTTTCAGAGAAGTGGAGCAATGTGATCTTTAATGTATCTTAATGTCTTACTAAATACACTACTCAGGCACATCTCCCATCCCAACATAGCAACCAGCAGCCTTAGCTCCACATTCTTGTCTGACCATGTTACAGTTGGCAGAAGAAAGGGCGATATCACTGCTTTTGATGGGTTTCCAACTTTAAGCAGGAAGCAACTTGGCCTGATACTCAAAGATTATAAATCAGTAATACAAGTCATAGCCCAAACACTAAGCAGACATGAGATCCCTTCTCAAAAACTGCATCTAGTGTTATTAAAACATCTTGGGCTGAAGCAGCCCTCTGCAGCTGGTGCTGCTTTTCACTGGAGTGAGTAGGAACAGACATACACAGTCGCTGTGCAACTTTTGCACAGGCAAAACGCACTCCAACCAGGCAGATTAGCTATTACAAGCTACC